TTTTTCTTAGTGACTCAAGTATAGTTTTCTAATAAAGTTTTTGAGTTATCTTGATTTTTTCTTCTGCTCCAAAAATGATCAGAATGATCGACGGAGAGAGTTGGCTTGTTGATTTATTGTATTATATTTTCTTGATACCTTAATATAATAATAAATTTTCTATATTGCTCTTTTTAAATACAGTATATTGGAATTGTTTTCTATTTAATAATTATAATTTGACTTTTTTGTTCTAGTTCTTTTCTGTTAAAATAATAGCTGCAGATAGAAAAATAAAACCCAATACTATAAGTATATTTCATATGTATTATAGTATATTACAAACAGATTAGCTCTATTCCTATTCAATCTTCTAAAATGTTTTATTAACAATAGCACAAATTAAAAATTTATACTCATATTTAATTTTGACTAGTGTAATAATTAGTCTAACTCTGTTTGTTATTTCTTTTTATTTTAAGAATACAATATTTCTATATAGGGCTTAAAAGACTGCTAGCTATTTGAAATATCATTCTTGATCTATATTATAGTTTGCTGATATAGTAAACAATAAGATGAATCAAGAAAAATATATCAAAAAATAGGCTGCAGGCTAGCAAATTACTATAGAATTTTAAGCTCTGTTCTTATACTATTTTAGCATATAACATAAGTTGCTTAGCTGCATATTGCATTATCTATACTTATTCATATGTATCTATACTAGTATCAGAGATTTTTATTATTTAAACAATGAAAAATTACTAAAATTATGTAAGTTTAGATATTCTATATAAATCATACTGTATATAATTTTTATACCAAAATATCTGTAATTTATAAATTTATAAATTATTATTAGAAATTCTTCATTGTATCTTATATAAATATCTAATAATTTGGATCATTCATACATTTTATCAGTAATTATGTTAACAAAAAAACAAGTTATTCTTTCTGTTGCACAAAAACATGAGATTTGTAAGAAAAAAGAAATAAATCTAATTATTAAAAATATAAACCTTACAAATAACTATAATGTAAGAAAATCAACTATATCAGATATTCTAAAAGAAAAAGAATATTAGTTAGCTATTACAACTGAAGAAAAAGGCAAAGTAAAAAATTTTCAAGCACCAAAATGATCAAAACTTGAAGAAGTACTTGGTCTTTAGGTAAATAATATGCTTAATAGTGGTCAGGATATTGATAGATATATTCTTAAGGAAAAAGCAAAATTTTTTGCAGACCATCTTCTTATTGATAATTTTTATCAATCTAATAGTTGGCTTACTAGGTTTAAAAAACTGTTTGGATTTCAATAGTTTAAAAAGAGAATGAATCTGCAAATATACTTCTTTCAGAAGAAATAGAAAAAGACTAGCTTATTTTATAACAATTACTCTAACTCTATAACCTTGAAGATATTTGGAATGCAAATAAAACTGGGCTTTATTAAAAAATAGAACTTTCTCACACTTTGGCTTATTCAAAATTAGCTGAGCATAAAAAAAAAATTACGTGTATCAATATTATATGCTGTAAATGCAAGTAGAACTAAAAAAATAAAACTTGCATTTATTTATATTTCTATGAGACTATATGCCTTGTAAAATATTAACTATAATAATCTTCTTGTTTATTATTATTTAAATAAAAAGACTTAGATACAAATAAATATTTTTAATAACCTTCTTCTTAAGCTTAATAGTCGAATGAACTAAAAAAATAAAAAAATTATACTTCTAGTTGATAGTACACTAGTACATATTGTTTTTGATGAAACAAAGTCAAAACTAAATTGTGTACATGTAGAGTTTCTCTCAGCACATATAACTTCAGTTCTTTAACTCTGTAATGCAAAAATTATTTATTCATTCAAGTACTACTATAAAAACCTTTTTATCTAAAATCAGATTAAAGCATATAATGATATATAAAATGAAATAGTAAAAGAAATAGTATTATTACAGATAGCGTAGCCTTCTTAGTATACTATAAGTAACAATGATATAGCTATCTAATTATTTTAAAAAATAGTGTCCAAAAGGAAAGTTTCTTTAACTAAATGTAAAAACAAGTTCTACTCTACAAAAGGCAGTTCATTTAGGTTTATTTAATAACAATATGTTTATTAATTATAAATATTTAAAGTCAAATACAAGAGTGAAGGGAGAGTTGAGGTTTAAACAACTAAAAGACAAGAGGAGGAATTCTATTTGTATTTATAACTTTTAGCAAATATCATGTAAGCATCAGCAAAGCATCATGTAAATGACTTGTGGAAGCATCACTTAAGCATTCATGCAAGTGACAGTTAAACGTTACTATTAATAGTTTAATATAGTAAGAGACACAATACTCAGCACAGTTCAGCATAGTTCAACATAGTCTTTTAGCATAGTTTGACATAGTATTAGTACAGTATTTGGTGCAGTATTTGGCAAAGTATTTAGCACAGTTCAGTACAGTATTCAGCATAGTCCAGCACAGTTTTAGCACAGTATTTTCTTGCTATAGCTTATATTTTCTCTAGATGTTATATATTAACTTTAGATGTAACTTATATCATCGTATAGCTGATATTCTTAGCTAGAATATTACTTAAGATATTTTTTGCTATAATCACTTCTTAAGGTACTTCACTTAGAGGTGAATATTTACAATAATTTTCTCTATTCTAAAATATATATATTAAAATAATACAATATAAGAAATAACTAAATACTAATAAATATAACTAATTAATTAAATTTAAAAACTCTTCCCGATGATTACTGAAACCGAAATGGAGTAAACAGAAAAATACTACAAGAAATAACCCCAACTACCCAG